CGCCAGCCAAACGCCTGGCCCCGTGGGTGACATGGCGGCTGCACTGGACGGGCGCGATTCGACGGAGCGATAAAGGGCCGAGAGGGGGCTACGGCGCCTAGAGGTCGCGGCAAAAGCCAGCAACGTCGACGAGTTATCGAGGGTGTGCGGCGAGCTTGGTCTCCGGGTCCACATGCACACCGACCGCCCGGCGTTCGCCTCCGGCGCGGACTGGACGGGATCGCTCCTTGCCGGGTGGGGGGCGTGCCCCACGTACGAAGAGTTCCGTTTTACCACCCGGACTGCCCTCTACACACCGGAAAGCTATGGCGCGCTGGTGTGCAAGCGTCTTCCTTCGGCGGCGTCACGAGTGGTGCTATCGCCGCCCTCAACAAGAACGACCGCAGCTCTCGCAATGTCCATGACCGTCGTTGCCGCGGGCAGGCCACCCGGGATGATGCAGATGTGGTCGGTGCGCTGCCAGCATCCCGATCTTGTTGTCCTTGCCAGACCACGCAACGCCCGACCGAGGCAGTGTCGGGCGTCGCCTTGGTCACCCACCACGCCAAAGCTGAGGACCATCAGAGCGCTGACGTTCGGGAACCGGCTCAGGATCAACGTGGTGGTGAGATCTAGCAACGTCCGGCTGATCTTCTGCACTCGCCGCGGCATGTTTTGCTGTTTAAGCAGTTGCCCCCGCGGTCTGCTTCGACAGCAAGACCATGCCGCGGCGATTGCAGAAGATCAGCCGGACGTTGCTAGATCTCACCACCACGTTGATCCTGNCGAGGCAGTGTCGGGCGTCGCGTGGTCCGGCAAGGATAACAAGGTTGGGATACTCGCAGCGCACCACAGCTGCACGATCCCGGGCGGCCTGCCCGCCGCAACGAGCAACTTCGCGGGGCTCTGTCCATTTCACCACGCCGCCTAGGACCGCGAGCGTTGCCAGTCATTGGAAGACCTTGGGGGGGNACTGCCTCGGTCGGGCGTCGCGTGGTCCGGCAAGGATAACAAGGTTGGGATACTCGCAGCGCACCACAGCTGCACGATCCCGGGCGGCCTGCCCGCCGCAACGAGCAACTTCGCGGGGCTCTGTCCATTTCACCACGCCGCCTAGGACCGCGAGCGTTGCCAGTCATTGGAAGACCTTGGGGGGGAGGGCCAACGGCGTGCGGTGGCTGATGCTGTAGATGTGCTGGTTAGTGCCCGGGACTTCGTCCAGCCCAAGAAGGGCGCCGCGGCGTTCGGCGGCGAGAAGGAGGCTCTCCGAGTTGGTGTGGAGAAGGACGACGAGGTCTTCGAGCAAGCGTTTGACATCATTCGCACACGGTTGGGCCCCACTATGTTCACGACGCAGCAGATATCTGACGGCGGTGAGGAACAAGATCAACTTTCCTCTTGCTGTAGAGTAGTTGCGGTCGTTGCCGGTGGGTGTTTTGTCGCTGTCGCTATCACTGCGTCTTGGTGGTGTGGGTGTTGTCTTTTTCTAGGGATTCTTTTATTGAAATGAATCCATGCCTGTTGCGCCAGGGGTTGCCATCTCGCCAACGCCGCCAGCCTGCCCCCCCAGCTGTTTTCGATCGGCAGAGGTTGCTCGCGTGATGATTTGCCGGCGGCCTCAAGTCGAATGTCCGACCGCAGTCAATTATCATCTTGTTTTGCCCGGCTGACACCTCCGTTGGCTTGATGCCACCGCTGTCGCTGTCGCATGCTGTTGCTGCTGTTGCTGCTGCTGCTGCTGCTACTGCCGCTGCTGTTGCTTCTGCTGGCGCTGGTCGAAACAGGGAAGAAGGTAGGCAAGAGAGGCTTAGCTGTCTTTGCTGCTAGTGTTTTATGCCGCGTTTATTTGCTGGGTTTTTTTTCGTTTGTTTTTGGTGTTATTCTAGTTTCCAGGGTTGGTTGCCCTCTCGATTATCTCGTTGTTTGAAGAGCTCATTTCCGATTGGATGCATCCATGCCTGTTGTGCCAGGGGTTGCTATCTCGCCAACGCCGCCCACCTGCCCCGCCCCCCCTGCACCGGCTGCTTGTGTTGTCACCGATCGCGCACGCATGGTATTTAGTAGGAGGCACCGGCGGGCTATTGTTTCTTGGCGTACTTTTCCTCGCTGTTGCTTTCGTTGTCTCATGATGTTGTGGGTGTAGTATTTTGACGATTGGATGCATTCATGCCTCGGTGCGACTGTTGCGCCAAGGGTTGCCGTGGCCCAGTGGTCCCATCCGCCCCCCGCCCCCCAAAGCTTTCGATCGGTCGCGAGTGTCTTATGTAGGTTCAAGCAAGGAGCAGATCATGAACACGAAAATATGGACTTTCTGATATCACTTTTCCCCCTATCCCCCCCGTTCCCCCCCCAACAAACATCCCATCACCGTGCGTGAATACACCCCATGATTGTTTTCTGGTTTTGTAGCGAGGCCGTCCGCTGTGGATGGCCAGAAAGTCGCGGTCGCCGAGGCCGTGTGGCAGGGAACGGTGGCGGCGACACCCAACCAGGAAGCGGCGATGCGTCAGCGGTCTGAGGACAGCGGCCGCGTGGGTAAGCTTTATATCTTGTTGTGTTTGTGTTTGTGTTTGTGGTTGATGGTTGTTTACAATGAATTTGGATGGCTCCTTCCGTAAGACTATGTAGCTCGTGTTGGTGCCAAATCGATTGCAGCGTCGCCCACATAGCCGATCTACTTTGCCCTCCCCGTTAGCCCCGGCTGTTTGTATTGTCGCCGATCGCTCACGCAGGGTATTTTGTAGGACGCACCGGCGGCCGATTGTTCCTTGGCGTACTTTGCCTCGCTGTTGCTTTCGTCGTCTCTTGATATTGTGGGTGTTGCATTTTGACGATTGGATGCATCCATGCCACGTGCGACTGTTGCGCCAGGGGTTGCCATGGCCCAGCGCGGGCAACCTACCCCAGCCCCCCCTTCTGCCCAAACATAAAAAAATTGGTAGGGACGGGCCGCGGGCGTTGTCGGGTGATGCCGGTGCGGAGGATCGTTGTTGTCGCTGTCTTTGTGTAGGTCCTACAGTCTGGATCTCGCTTTCGATCACATTTGGCGCCAGGCTTTGCGTTACCCTGCCAAGCGTGCCCAGCTGCCCTCTCGCCTCCGCCCCAGTTGTTTTGTTGGCAGCGATTGTTCGCTTGACGTCTGTAAATTGATGCCAAGAGGTGCAACCGATACAGTGTAAAGTCCACCGTGATCTGTAGGTGTTTCGTTTTTATGTCCTCTCCTTACAAACCCAGGATATATTTAATGTTCATCGCTTTCCGAACGCTAAACAGGAAAAGGTACCGTAGGAAAAAAAATCTCTTCTGGCGATGGATCGCGCGGTGCGCGGGTGGCGAAGGAACCCATCGACGACAGCAGCGTGATGGCGTCGATCGGCTCCTACCGCCGAGCGTACAAGATCACGGTGGGCGACAAGAAGGGCCAAGCCATGATCAGCAAGAGGAAATCCAAGTTATTCCGCTTTCGGGACATCCGCGGCATCGGCAGCAAGGAGTGGATCCTCGGAAAACGACCATTCGACAGCAGGAAGGGGGGGGGTGTACTCATAGTCGTGCATGCCGTAGTCGTTAGACCATTGACCTCGCATCCCTACAAAGCCGGGACGGAGCACGCCGGGTTCTCACCGGACCAGGCTCTCACATCACCAAGCGCGAAGCGCCGTGAGATATTCGGCGAGTCGCATGAAGGGTGCGCTGCATCCTGCTAAGGGTGTTCGGCATCTTGTGCTTACTTCCTTGCGTACGGATGACAGCTGCGTATGAATTAATTTATTTTCTGGTGCTTTCACTTCCAGAGACAGTTGTAAGCACTGTGTAACTGCCTCGAGGGTGCTTGACCATTTTAACACAACGTGGTGCGATCATCCCCCTTGCGCGGAGTGAGGGTTCTCCACCCCGCACAACATGATCTACTCGACCACCATTATGGTTACCGCCAAAAAAAAAGAGGTAAAACAAAAAACGGTAACCTGATTGCCGAGCTCACGAAGTGAATTGGCTTGTTTTACAACGTCGTTGCCAAGCGACGAAAATCCAATCCCGATGGCAAACACCGGGGGGAAGGGGGGAAGGGGGGGGGATAAAACCCTCTCATTATCCTGTAACGATATGGACAAAATGGTGACGGGGGAGAGGGATGCTGACCCCGACAATAGGCTATAACACGACCTAGTTCGCTACGCCAGGGAATACCTGCCCGAAAGGGAAAAGGCTACCGCTCCCGCCCAATTGTCGATATGGCGCGGTTCACCTACCGTTTGTTTGGCGTGAGATCTGAAAAATGGAATGAAGTGTGGAAGTTTCGTGGTTTACGAGGTTGATGGCGACTCGATCGTATCTAGCTTCCCTACAAGAGGTAGGCTTGGGTATAAAGATTCCCAAGGGTCCTGCTGGCGCAGTTCATGCGCGTTCACATGGCGGGTGGGAAAGGTTCAGACAAACAAAATGCGAGTGTAGTGACATTGAATTTGTTTAGGACAGCGGAGAGACCCTTGCCGCCGCCATTCGTTCATGTCCATTCTGGTTCCTATGGTATTGTGACGTATGGGAATGCGATGCACCGAAGGATGGGATTGTGTGACCGAGCAAGACTGTTCAACGGAGGTGGATTAGAAAGAAGTGAGAGAATGGGTGTGTGGTGGGTCATAGATAAGGGCTCGCTCCGATCTTGAGCGAGAGAAGTATTGGCCCGAAAGTCAGCTGTATTTTGCGACATGCACGAACCCTCTTCGACATGCGCTTCTTCGGATAGGGTTTGCTGATTGCGGAACCAACATGCCCCATGGTTGTTTCTGCGGAGTTGCGCGTTCAGGTGTTAACAAGGAACCTTCATACTTGAACTTCTCCAAGTGTTTTAGATGCCGTTGACGCGATTAGCCTTTCCGAAGGCAATGATCCGCGTTGTTGAGATTGTGGGCCTCTTTCGTGACAACAAACAGTTGCGGTGCAACAACAAACCAAAGGGAGAAACCGGGAGCGACGTATGGTATTGTGTCTGGCACTTGTTTGTAGCCGAAAGCACCCACCGTTGTACTGGTACATCGAACAAAGTTGGCTCAACAGATGTTCTTAAAGGAACGCGGCAGTCGTCGCGCGTGGTGTCTGTCCCTTTTCGACGTGCCAAGACTGTCAAGCTCGATTTCTCGTGGGTTGCTTCGATTGATGTGAGAGCGTGCCGCACTCCACCAGATAGCGACACCCTTGATCTTCCAAACGTACTCACACACAGCACGCAAGTACATCGCCCGCCGTTGCACCACCAATACATCACACACAACACAGCACACACGATGCAAGACGGCTCGGTCTCCGCACACTTCAAGTTTGAGTCTCCTGATCGGAGCGAGGAGCCGACCGAAAGAAAGAGATGGCGTCGTCCCACAGCTCCAGGGGAAACCTGAGGGAAAGCGTTCGCCAATCGGACGGGGATGCCACAGTTTGTTGCGAGCCCTTGGTCGTTGCCGCCGCCGCCGCATCAATGTTGCTCCCATTTCGCTGCCCGTTGGACTCGCGGGGCGGAGTTGCCTGGAATTTGAAAGCAGAAAGCAAGCAAAAAGGACAGGACAAAGGCCAAACAGCCATAAACAGCGAAAGGAAACGAGGAAGAGTAAGAAAAAAATGAACCCAAGCGATTTGCCTGCAGTAGTGTAAGGCCTCGAAAATATGGCAAGACGGATCAAGTCCCCGACACCTCCTTGAGCAAGGAAACGTGATATATTCATATGCCTGCGCAGGCTGTACTAAGTATCGACGCAAGATATTAACGCCTCTTCTTGCCCCTCCAACAGCCAGCCAAGGACATAAGAAACCGGAAGAGGCACACACACACAAAAACATGACTCCCCCTCACGGAGCGCCCCCTCCGGTGTTTACCATCGGGGTTGGGTTTTCGTCGCTTGGCAACGACGTTGTAAAACAAGCCGCCCCCCCGG